TTTTTTAAATTTTTGTAAAAGGGGGGGGGGGGGGGGGGGGGGGGGGCGTACTCTTATGTTTTGCATGCGAATCTTCTTTCGCAACCGTGCTCGGGTGGGAAACACGTTCAGTAACACACCGCTCTCCCACACGTTTGGGGGCAGGTAGATAGGTGTCTACCGTTCATGGCGAGAAAAGCTGGACTTTCGAAAACCTTCTTTGCACCGTCAATAAAAGAAACATTTGCTTGTATGTTTCCTCCGGTGGAACAGATCGTTCAGGAGGGCCCCGACGCGCCAAGCTCCACCGGGTTTTCGTCGATCGTGAAGTCGAGGGGCTTCGGCAGCAGCAAGGAGATGATGTCGACGCGCTACCGCATGCACGCGCCGGGGGTCATCCGCGTACGCTCCGAGGGCAAGAAGGAGGGGGAGCCGCTGTTCGGTGCCGCTCTGCACTGCATCCCGCTAGGGAAGGGTCGATCGCGCCTCCTGTTCAAGGTATATACTCTTCGTTGGCGTGCTCCACGACGACCCGCTGGAAGGGTAGTTAGGTCTGCAGGGTTCTGTTGAAGTGTCTGCTGAAAGGTTTCGATTCTTGCATAGGCGATATGGTTAATTGAACAGCCAATGCGTGGATCGGGGCAATCACGGCTGAGAGTGCAGCGATTGCTAGCTTTTGCTTGGCTAGTTGCTGGTGCCCAGAATCGATGTTGGTCGTCATCGCGTGTGCCAGGCACATGGCGGCGCCGCACGTTGTTCCCGCGTTGTTCACCAGCATCCATAATGGCTCGCCCTGCGTTGTCTCCAACAGCGTGTTCCACCGCCCGTCTTGGCTGCCCCCTCACCCCCTTGTCCTTGTCCGCCCCTCCCTACGTTTCTTGCGTCTCTTCGTTTTCTCGCCAGACGTACGCGATGAACTTCCCTCCGATGGTGGGCTTTATTTACGGTCTCAAGCCCAAGTTTTTGCGGCACCTCAACTCGTGCAAGGTGCGTGCAACCCCCCCCCTGACCGAGAGATAGGTGACGTGTTCTAGGCCTCTCCAGGCACTCGTTTCAAAGCGCTAACGTGTTTCATCTCTCCCAAGTAGAAACACCGGACAGAGAAAGCTACCGAGATCGATTCTCGAGAAGCAGGTACGATCCCAATAAACACGAGGAACTCATGGAAGTGGCGTGAACCCGCCGCCTTGCCGCCCCCGCCCCCCCCCCCCCCCCCCCCCCCCCCGGGATTGGGGGGGGGGCCCCCCCCCTTTTTGGGGGGGAAATTCCCAAAAAACCCTGAAAAACCCCCCCAACCGGGGCCCCTTTTTTTTTTTTTATAGGGGGTTCCCCCCCCCCCCCTTTTTTCGGGGGGCCCCCTC